TGTTTGCTTAAGAATCAAATCATCACTGATTACACAAAGCAATGTAGCTGAAGGTTTTGCTTACTTGGGGAGCCTGCTGCGCTGGTGACAAGGGCAGTTTTCTTCACTTGTAACTGTTTTTTCGTTTTCTTTCGAGAAATCTGAATAAAATTTTGGTTCTTTTCACAAATGGAGAAAGTCTTTAGTCGTTTCTTCCCTTTCTGCATGACATGCACTACCCTCACTGCGTTTAATGTTAGTAAATGTCCTTGCGTTTCGCAGAACGATAGAAAGTTTCGGCACTATTCAACTATTACAACCCCAAAATCTCAAAATTTTAATTCTCGCCGAAATTCCTCCCATAGGGGTTATTCGATGCCCTGATTACGAAAATGATATTCATTTTTTGACGTGGCGCCATTTGGCGCCAAGCGGCGCCAACGTCGAAAATGAACGTCATTTTCGTAATCAGGGCATCGAATAACCCCTATGGGAGGAATTTCGGCGAGAAGTAAAATTTTGAGATTTTGGGGTTGTAATAGTTGAATAGTGCCGAAACTTTCTATCGTTCTGCGAAATGCAAGGACATTTACTGACATTAAACGCAGTGAGGGTAGTGCATGTCATGCAGAAAGGGAAGAAACGACTAAATTAAGAAAGAAAACCATTATAAACAAAACAATAGATACGGCTCGTTTCGCTTCTTCTGAAGACTTTCTCCATTTGTGAAAAAATCAGAATTTTATTCAGATTTCTCGAAAGAAAACGGAAAAACAATTACAAGTGAAGAAAACTGCCCTTGTCACCAGCGCAGCAGGCTCCCCAAGTAAGCAAAACCTTCAGCTACATTGCTTTGTGTAATCAGTGATGATTTGATTCTTAAGCAAACACAAAGAGAAAAAAAACAGAAGTCAGGCCCATTCCACGCACTGAATGATGAAATTCGATCGCTTCACGTACACCTATACTCATTTCAAGAAATGACTATTTCCTGACCTGTGTGGCGCAGTGGTGTCGCTTACATCATAATCGACCGGGGCTAAAACATCTGTATCAGTATTTGCTCGAAGTCGTGGCGGATTCGTTGGACGCTGTGAGGACATACGACTGCAAAACAACGATGAAATAATGAACTGATGACGCACCACAACCAAACTTCACTAAGAGAAAAAGGGTGAAACCCTGAAATATACAGCTCGAGCCAACATAGCTTCTTCCAATTGCTTCATTCACTCGGAAAACATCTGTACATATTAACAACATATCAAATTGTAACAAAAAAAAACTTCCAAAAAATATGAAGGGAAAAATCATGGAAGAAATTGGAGAATAAAGGTTCAGAGATTGCCTTTTTGTCCAGTACTTTTTTCGCGGTTATGAAGAAGGATCAATCACTTGTAAAAACCAGGTGTCGGTGAAGGGAAAACACAAAATTTCTTAACAAGAAAATGAAGTGAAATGAGAAATAATGAAGAGTTGGGATAAGGAGCGATCCGAAAGCGAATGAGATTATATCCAAAATAAACCCATAAAGTGAGACTTCGTTTTTTACCAACTTCGCAATGACCATACTAGAGTATTTTATGAAACAAAAAAAGGAAAAGAAAAATTAACCAAAAAAGCACCGAAGGATCATCAACCAACTGCCTTTGCATAGTCAGCGCTTGCAACCTTATAGTCTAAATCAAAATTCAAAATCATTGGTGCATTCTGTCTGAGGAACGCGATGAAATCGTGCACACATGCAATGCGGACCATAAATTCAGAATCGTCCGTAGAACTCAAACGGAGCAAAATTGGCAACTTTACCAACAGACGCAGCAAATGACAAAGACCGTAGTATTTCGATGGCCGAAGCATCTCTGGACGCAATGGACCACCTTCCTGAACAGCGTCACGTATTATTCTTGATAAAATATTCTCAAATATTTTTGAAGTCGAAAATAAATCAGTAAACTAAAATAGTAAATTACGCCCTACAGGCAAGTTCCCTGCACTAACATAATCCAATAAATGTTCTGACGCAATGAAACAGGAAACTATAAATTCAGTAATACTCACCAATAACTGCAATATCACTAGGGGCGGAAGTGACGGTCTCACATCGCGAGTCTGCCTGCGCCTGCGACCGGGGGTTTCCGGCGTTTTCGTCACCTCGCCATCAAACTTCTCCTGCTCACGCTTCGACAATGCCTGGTACTGCGGTTTCTCGTACTTGTACAACAACTGGTAGCCAAGAACAATGTCGAAATAGTCCCGTAAATTGACTGCAGTCGCACAAAGAGTATCTACTCCAGGAATGCGGGTTGTACCACCTTCATGCCTATAAAATGTGCGACAAGATCGAATGACCGAATTATTATCAATTCAACAATGGAAGCTAGGCCTTAGTAGCAGATTTTAAGAGTTTGTCAAGAGGGTGTGGTTCACTAGGACAGAAGCGGCTTTTTCGCGTTTCGCAGCGCGAAAACATTTTTCGCTGCGGGAACCTCAGGTCCACCGCTGATCATCAGTGGACCCGAGGTTCCCGCAGCGAATCATCAGTGGACCCGAGTTCCCGCAGCGAAAATGTTTCGCGCGCGAAACCCGAAAAAGTCGCTTTCTGTCCTAGTGAACCACGCCCCTCCGTACGGTTACACGGCTTCTGTCAACCAGGGGGTGAGAGTGTAGAAGGAAAAGCAGACGTTCTTTGTGGTAGTGGGACTAAGCCTTTTGAAGGAGGTAAAGAAAGCGGAGATTCTGTAATAGTGCGCTTGTGTGAGAGCTCCCAGACAGCACAACAAAACGCTGAATTGCCTAGCCTCACGGTTGACAGATGTCCGGAGACCCCTCCGTACGAAGTCCATCTTACAGAAGCAGAGTCCATCTTCTAGAAGCATGAAAGCACTAACCAAAGATAACTTACTCGACATCGATCTCCATATTTTTAGGAAACAGATTCCTTGAAAATTCCTGATATTTCTCAACGATATTGTAGACCGTAACTCTGGCAGGCAGAACTGCTAGCTTTCCATGAACCATGATGGCGTTATATTCTTCGACTAAAATCTTCTTGAACAATTTCGGCAAATTGCTCAGCATCTCAACTTGCGCGTCAATTTTCGGGCCCAACGAAACCAAGACCGCCTCATCTAAACCAGCTTATGCGGTTCGGTTGAAGAACAATCAAATAGTGGATACAAATGCTTGAAGCAAACAATAACATTCAAGGAATGAATAGGTCTCACCTGCCTCATCGCCAGCACTTTTCTGTGTCACAGTCTCCGATGGTTTTGAAACAGGACCGCGTCGATCGCTGTGAACACTAGGAGCATGGCAACTACTTCCTAAAAACTTATCCTATCTTGAAAGGAGAACGAGGTCTGCATTCTAGATATACAGCTTGCTGTTTCTCTTCCCATACAGCTTAGGAGAATCCAGTTAATGCATTAATTATTTCATTGCGTTAATCATGACTGAAAGCAAATCCAATCTTTCTTATAGGTCCCTGAACTCTCTCAGTAACAGCCCGCTTCTGAGCAACGATTGCAGTTTTATTGTAGGTTGTGTTGTTTTGCCTCCATACTTAAATAGTATATACTTGGCTACAAACGAGGGTGCTATCTTAGTTGGAGGGGGCCACGCGGCGGCGCGGCGCTCTGTTCGTCTGCTCCTCCAAAGGCTTAGTCCCAGGGGCAGTTACTATTTCGCCATCACGTGGCAGTTTCGAAATACGCGCCATCGGAGGACTAAGCCTTGCAGGAGGAGACGAACAGAGCGCCGCGCCGCCGCGTGGCCCCCTCCAACTAAGATAGCACCCAAACGAGTGTTCAACCCACTATTAAATAACAATATTTGTGATAACCAGGCGACGTGAACACCTTAACCTCGCTCTTCCTGAAAAGCGCAAAGTTTGGGTCCGATGGCAGCACTATATTTCGAGAAATGGTTTCAGGGTGTGGCTCACTAGGACAGAAGAGCGACTTTTTCGCGTTTCGCAGCGCGAAACATTTTCGCTGCGGGAACCTCAGGTCCACCGCTGATCATCAGTGGACCTGAGGTTCCCGCAGCGAAAAATGTTTCGCGCTGCGAAACGCGAAAAAGTCGCTTTCTGTCCTAGTGAACCACACCCATGATTTTATGCTCAAGAAATGCGACTTCTCAGGAGCAGCTTGGGCGAGATGGAAAAGTAGTAAAAATAGGGAAGATTTCGATGAACGCTTCAAAGCATTTTTCAAATCAAGAATTTGGACGCTGCGGTGTTGCAGGCGAAAGAGCGCGAATTCGGAAAGAAGGGGAGCTGCATTAGAGGCTCCAAAAGTTACCACCCCAATCCCTAACTATGACTACAAAATTCTCGTTGTAGTACAAAAGTCGATTACCTGCACGATCACTCGGAGTTGATGCTCGGCTGCCATTTTCGCTCTTCCGCGCGTCATCGTCCTCTAATTTCTGTTTCTTGCGTTTCGTCTTCGCAGCGCTTGCCTCTTGAATGTCCGCCTTCGCTTTAGCGATGTTCGCTTCGGTCAACGGTAGAAACATTTCAGGGCATTTCGACTGACGAATTCGTTCATCGTATCTCTTGTGCCAACCCTGGTAATGTACCGTATAGATCATTTCGCCAGCCTCTTCTTCAACATCGGTTATTTTCGCCTCATAGAAGAACAAGCCATGCTTGCACAACACCTTGTCGTTTACCTCATACCTCGTGGCCCTTGGTGGCATGCCTGAAGTAGGACAAAGACATTGAATGGTAATAATACTAGTCGCTTTCAGAACCAAAGTAAAATTGTATCACGATTACATGGATTCCAAAAGATTAGCCAATTAAATAAGCTCAAACCGATATAACAACCAGGATCGAATATTGAAGGAAACATCGGTATTAATGCATGCAGTCAATTTTTAGCAACTATTCCAAACAAAATAGAATGCCAGTGAGAGCGCGCTTGCGATGCGCAGTGGGATGAAGCGAGATACAAAGCACGTTCCTGCTGTATCTAAAGTAACGCATCTCGATCAGTTTGGACTTATGGCTATCCGTTTAATCAACCAATCCGATCCAAATTTGAAATCTAGCAAAGCAAATGTACCCTCCTTTTCAAAATACGAGAAGAGCGTCGGATGCAGACCATACACCACAAGTGACGACGGCCTCAACAGAATGTAAATGTTTTCTGCCAATGAAGTGATTAGCCTGTTCAAGTTGTATTCTATCATTTATCACTAGTTACATCTATCATTCACCAACAACCGGCTATCACTATGAACCACTGCTAACCGGATCTACTAGGAGGCCACCATCACTTGTGGTGTATGGTTGACACACCCGACCTTTTCTGTATTGGAGGGAGTGTTAAGATGTCGGAAACATTTGAATTGGTCTTTTTTGTTCATCTTCTCTAGGGAGGGCTTGGGTCAATAGTCTCAATAACGTAGATAGCAATGAAGTACCCAAACATTTGATTGCTAGCAGAATAATGCTGTGGCTTAGAATCCGCGGCCCGTTTCGCGCATTCGCGCGACGGATCGCGACATGTGAATCACCGTAGTACCGTACAGTTCTCAACTTTTCTGTGCAGAGACTTTGTATTAATTAGTGGTAACTCGTCGCGGCGCTCAATTTCATTGGGAAGGGGCGAGGCAGGAGAGGAATAATTCGAGTGAGTAAGCAACTCACGAGTATTGGCTGAGCTTTGGGAGAGCTTCTGGGAAGAGGATGTGAGACAATTTTGTCCTCCTTGGCTTTCCTTTCTCTATCTGGGCTGAAGTCTTGATTGTCAATTACCAGCGTTTTTTTAAGGCACTGTTGTCGAAATGATCCCTCCTTCCTATCTCGAGTTTCCGTATCTTTCTATTACACGTTCACAATGTTCAGCGGTCACGATTTACTGTCTCGATATTCAAAAAAACTTGGAAAGGGATTACAAAATACTAATCTAGACTTCTGGAATTCAAATAGAATGTTATTCCGCTCCTCCCATTCCCGAAATACTTCTCCGCATTTAGTGAGTCATGCAAAGATTCAACAGAAAGTTGGTCGTATCAAAACCACTCATCATGCTCATAGCATCGTCGGATTTTCAAAAATAAAGCGAGAAAATGACATCAACGTGAATGCAAGAACTTTTGAATATTCTAGAATGCATTGACGCGCAAGGCAGGTATGGTTCATATATTTCTTCGCAGAGGATGTTAGTGGGACTATAGGCATTTAAATTCACAAATTCAATCGCAAAAGCCCCGGACTTTCATATGAAAACACTGGAAAAGGGACGATAATACTTAGTTGCAGGAGCTTCTAGAAGACTATTTCAATGCACTATTTAGAGGGAAATCTGCTGCAAACACTGCAGCAACAATGCTCGAACACAATAAAATTGTCGAGCTTGATTCCTGAAAAATAAAGAGGCGTGGCTTGTGAGTGCGTTGAAAATTACACTCGTGTCGAGCACACAACGTACACCTCACCTTCACGGACTTGTGCACCCCAAACTTCACAAGTTCGCAAGACTAATTCTTAATTATCACAGCCAATTGCCATATCGCATCTGAATTCTAATCACTTCCGATCTAACTCGGATTCTTAGTTCGTTATGTCTGGGAAACGCGCTCGGAAGATTAATGTAAATGTTTCAGAATTGACTCGTAGGACATGAGCTGACAATGAATCGATACACACTCATACCTCTATACCATCGACAAGATCTCAATCAGAAGTGTATTGATCTGTTGAACCAGGTATGTGGAGAGATTTTATCATTAGCAGTTCTGGGAGTTTTCAGGCGCATTAATTGAGAGAGCATTTACTGAATTAGTAATAAGCACATGGTTAGCATTGGTATTGAAGTAAGGGTTTAAAATGAAGGGAAGCAGTATAGGGCTAATTTTCAGAGAATGATCATATTCTGATGTGGGTAACGAACTTATACTTCCTTTCGAGACTAGATATGCGTCATCGAGTGCAGGACAACGTATTATATGACGAGACTCGAGTATTCGGGGGGCAGCAAGCGCACGAGCCCATCCCTCGTTAGGGCTCGACTGCACGGCCCGGTGACAGCGATATTCATAGTGAATAGAGTGTTAGTATAATAATGGTATGTAAATTAGTGACAATGGTTTTAGAAATGTCAACTGCGACCGGCTACTCTCCTTACATTGGCAGAAAACATATTATTTGTTGTCGGGGCCGTGTCATTGTGGCGTGTAGTCTGCACACGACGCGCATCTGGTTTTCGGGAGTAAAATATTCAGCACTTCGGCCGCGTTAAGAGTTCACAACTTTGGAGATTAGGATAGTAGCCAACGCCGGAAAAAGCCATGCGTTGATGGGAACACTGGGAGTCGAATAGATAAGCAGTTGGAGTGTAAGACGGTATCCGATTAGAAAGAATAGATACGGTACTGTTAACGCGTTGGGGTGAGCAGTCGTTCATTGTCGCTTGGACAATGTCTCAACGAGGGATGGGGCGTCGTTTTGGAGTAGTGTGAAAAAAAGGGGGGTCTAATTGCGTATTTGTTGTGGTGGGCGAGGATTTTGTTAATGTTACAACAAGGGATGTGATATGGCAGTTATGTTGAGACGCCGCATAAATATGGCCGTATTCAGCGTGCGTTAACCCCCCCTACCGCTCGACGGCGATTTTGGGGAAGCAGTGGGGAGTCGGGTTTTGGGCTATTCGACTGTTCAGGAGTCGGAGTGCAGTATGGAGTGGCCGGATGATGGGCTGATGATGGGCCGAGCGGTGGTGAAGGTGTTGACCTCGAAGGGAGGGTCAGATATTCGGAGTGCTTCTAGGAGGGGAGAGGGGCGTAAATTGTCGAATGGTCCATGCGTACGGTTGACCCCGTGGTGTGTAGATCAGGCTGTCCAGGTGTCGGGCGATGGTGTAATGCAATTTACGTGATGAGGCGATGGGTCAGAAAGATATGCCTAACTTATCGGCAGTAGGATGGTAAGCGAGACCAGGAACGATTTGCAGCTGTGATAGTTAAGGGCTCGCACCGTAATCCATCTTCGCACTAGGAGCCGTGTTGAGGCAGATCTAGGATGCGCCAGTCCAACGAGAGGCCGGCAAGCTAGGTCTCTTTGCGAGGAACCTTAGCATGAGGACAAATGACGTCTGTTTTCGTGCACCGAGGCAGCATCCCAAGTTCTGCAGATCCACCACGGCGTACCATTGGCATTATACCCCGCGACTGACTTGTTCCCCCACACTCACTGGATAGTAGTGTCGTAGGACAGAAAGCGATGCACAGCGTTGACACCTGGCCACGCTTTCGTCCCTTGGTTTCTTTGTTAACTGCTTTCTAAAGCCACAGTTCTTGTTGCGAATGTTTCGCAAGAGTCCTAGGTTATAAGCGAAGCTTTCGCCCCAGATACCCCAAACCCGCACCTCTCGCTTAGTCGAGACAGTATGCGCGTACAGGTTACTGCTAACCTATGCACCTTGCACTAAGACCGTATAAAAGAAACGAGAGGAGTAGAATGGGTCGTTTTTACCGGTGCTGTTGCTCGACCGTTTCGTTTTCTTTTCGGGGAACTGAGCTGGGGCGGCATAACCAGTTCAGGGTCAACCGTTGAACGGTTGGACCGACATTGGACCGACGTTGGACCGACGTTGACCGCTCTCCGCGCCGGCATTCACACTCGCCTTGCGCGAGCCGTCTGTGTCTCCGTGCGTACGTTCACTCTCGGCATTACTCACACGCTAGAGAGCCATGCGTTGGACTTTGTCCAACGGACGGTTGACCCTGTACCAGTTGGCATTTCTGAGTTGCCCATTTATTGTTCATGATTTTGAGACACGTTACCAGCCGTCCGAACGGTGGGCAATTTCGAGTTTTCACGAAGGGCCAACGGTCCATTCGCAATACTGTAAGGGACGGTTGGCATTTTGGCGTAAACGGAGCAGGGTTGGCTACCTTGGCCAGAAGAGTCTTGAGAGAGAGGCGTATTTGCGGGACTCACGGCTTGATAGTTTCACTAGACTTGACTGACTTTTGAAGAGTTTGGCGAAAAATTTGCGATAGTAGGATAAATTAGAAAAAAACTGGTGGATTTGCTGTTTTGTAAAACTAATTTATCCCCCTCCCCCTCCTCCGCCTCCCCTTTCCAGCCCCACCCTTCATCTTCCAATCGTGTAAGTGAAAACAAGTTGTGACGTAAACCGGGTCAGAGGGGTATGGAGGGTGCGAGTCCTATCGTTCGCTGATGTTAAGAAATTTTTTTACGACGCCCCAGTTCCCAAGAGTGGATTTGTATAGACCCCCATTTTCCCTACTCACCATTCCAGTGCGTCGAAAATTTGGAGGAAAAAGTAGCGAACAAAACGATTGACCCTTGGTCGCACTCGTGTTTTTGGAAAGGGTTTTCTATGGTGGAACTGACGTTATGTTTTAAGACATGGGAAGATTGTTTTGGGATGGTTATAGGCTAATGGGGATAGGATCATCACAGGAAGAACTAGGTAAGAGTTCTACAGTGATTTGGTTTTGGAACAGGAGCAGATGTGCTGCTGACCCTGGCTTCAATCTCTCATGCGAAGTCGCTGTTCCATATCCTTCACTTCAAAATCTGTAATAAGGTAGCCTTTTTAAATCTTATTTTACAGGAATGGCCTCGTAGCGATGGTGCACGTGAACATTCACAGGCCAAGTCATGCCGTCTCACTCCGCCGTTGTCGTTTCTTTTCGTAGAAAACAGTACTGATAGACTGATCGGCCATGCACGGATATGTCTCCTTCCAAACAGGTACATTCTGCATATTTTGGAAAAGTTTCCGACATTAACCAGTCCTTTTGGGGATGCGCCATACCCTCGAACTTCTTCCAGAATCTTAGTAGTATTTGAATGCGATACGGCCTATAAAAGGACAGAAAAGGTGCAGTGGTTAGCGGAATTGCCTGTCACGCGAGTGGTCCGGAGATCAGATACTGTGTCGTGTGTCGTCCGGGTAATCGGCCCCTATCACCACACATGAAGGGAGTCACCCACAAATAGTACGATACCCCATCCCCTACACTGGCCACCACTCTTGCCATCATGGCTGTTTTTATAGAATTTTTTTTTCTGAAAATGAAGCCAGTTTTTTCTGAGAATGGAGCCTCCGCCCACTCTTTTCTCTAGAAGCCATGAAGCAGGGAGGGGGAGCGGAAGGGGATGGGACGGGTAGAGTATTTTTCAGGAAACAGCATAGCTTCTTTATTCATGCCACCCTTCTTTCGTGAAATTCTCGGCAAAATGGGCAAAAATATCGTCTGAACGCAAGAATGACAATCTCTTCCGAACCACGACTCCTTCGGTTTCCAAATTACGACCACCACACAAAAATCACAGATACGGCGCTCGTCTGGATAGGCCGGATAGACGGTTGACCCTGCCTTTAAGGACAGTGGTTACGCTGCTGTAAAGCCTCCCTTCCTCGCTCGTGCACCTCATTGCACTTGCTTTTGTCCATCCCACTGGTTCTTCTGGCCTGAAGGCAGACTTCACGATGAATTAGAGCCAATTAGAAATCAAAGTAGAAGTGGACAGCGGTGGGAAAAAAACAAGGAAACAGCCTAGAACCGAGAAATGGCCCCTTCTTGCCCACTGAATTGCGCGTTAGGCAATTCTCATCGACTTCATCAACGCTAATGATCTCTCTTCTGGAGCGGCTAGAGTCAGGCGGCGAGGAGTTAACCAATCGGTGAGAGTGCAGCGGCGTAAGCTGCGCGGGTGTGGCCCTGCTAAACCGCGAGGGGCGTGTCCATCGCTGAACGCGCATTGTTCCGAGATCCACCTGCCTTTAGACTGGGTAGATTTCTTATTTTCAAACCTCTCAACTTCATCATGGAACCCTCTTGACGCATTAGTATTTTTCCACCTTTTCGTTACAGGCCAACCGCATGCTGGATTGAGTCGGTGATCATAGAAAAAGATTGTCGTGGACTTGGTCTAGGAAAACTGCTGATGTCATGCCTGGAGGACGCAGCAATGAAATTTGGATTTGACGAGGTTGTGGCTCCTTTTATCATTTCACTTTCGTTGTTTTCTTCTCTCCTTTGATTCGTATTGAGCCCTCCCACGTCCTTTGTAAGCCCCTCTAGACCTATCGTAATTGCTGCCTTAAAGCAACAGTTCCAGGACGAATTTGCGAGGTAAAAACCGTTGATAAAGTAGTTATAGGCCAAAGACAATTTGACCTAAAACCGGAATAGCGGCTTTAAACCAGGAAGTCCACTCGCTCTGCTCCTTAGCAATGAGTGAAGACGCGTGCCTGCGACGATTGTCCGAACACTCCAGCATAAATGCGCCACAATCCCAATGTGCGGCAAGTAGGCCATAAACAGTTACACATTGCAACTCTCCTTGCAAATTAAGCAAGCAATCTCTACTCAAATTCACGTAACAGTGCCGATCACCTCTCAAACTACTGCGATTCGACCCTTCCATTTAAGCTGGAGAGACCCTTCCATTTAGCTGGGAAGCCTTGATTCCGCTAATAACTGACTGACTTGGTGGCCATTACAACAGATTACAACATTACATAACACCACATAACATAACAACATTAGAACAACACAAAAAAGAAGCAATTCCACTGCAACCGGCAGGATCAGATTGATTACTTTAAAGGACAGAGTTCAAATACCCCTGTGGTCCCGAAACGAGCACAATGCCTCCGTAGCCAATCACGGCTGGCAAGTGGGCGGTCCCGAAGAAATTTCCAACCACACCCATCTTTGAGGATTTAAACGCCCTTTTTGGGCTTTTCCCAGGTGAGTTTTCTTTATAACTTCACTTCAGATGTTTTCCAATAGGGCCTGCGTATACTTTAGTGCCATTAGTATTGAAAGAAGCAGACCCTGCTGGGACTGTTGCTTTCTTTAATCAAAAGAGTAATATCATATTCGTAATCAGAACACTCGAAAATCAAAGTAATGCCTGACCAAGGAATGGAATCGAATGGCACCCTTCCGTCTGCTGTACTATTGCATGCGTGTCTGAGGCTTGTAAAGTGCAATAGTATGCCGGAAGTTAATATGGAAATAGGATATCCCTAGAATTTTTGCAGATGTAAACACATTTGACCGACATACCAAGCCGAGTTTTTGGCTTTTTTGGCCAACGTGGACCGCCGGGCGCACTTTTGCAGGGCTGCAGACGCCGCCGCCTCACATCAAATCCCGTGAATTTTGAGCTTTAAATACCCAAAACTCGGATGCAACAAAATGTTTAGAATGATATTCGATGTGTCAAACTTATCAGAAGGGACAACTGTAAAAAATCGATCGAATTGACGTTTTCTGGCGATGAAAGGCAAGTTTCAGTTGCTTTTGCTGCAGTGAACCTCAAAATTATTTTTGACGCGGTTGCTCTACTAAAAACATATGTCTTGCTATATGTGTGGGTCTGTACTTACTTCTACTGCTCTTTTTTTGATGACAAGATTATCAGAATATAAAGGAAACTAGGAATGAACACAATTGGGAAATTCGTAGGGCTTAGAAAACCTTTCGCTAAAAAGGAGCATATTCAACCATTCAATGAACCTCGCCGTGTCTAGTCATATTATGGTGTAGTCTATGGAATAGATGCAAAAAAATTAGAAAAGAAGTAGCGCATGCGCGAAAAAAATAAATATTTTGTGTGTGCAGCGCATGCGCTGCACACGGTCCCACACGGTGCTCAAGGTGTGATGCGCATGCGCTGCACAATGTCGTCAACGTGTTTACCAAAGTATACGTGACCATTCTGAGGGCCACTATATTTGTAGCTACGTCAAGGTCTCTTCTATGGATGAATACAAGGAAACTTCTAAAAGAATCAGGCGTGCGCGAAAAAAATGAGTGTAATGGGTGCGGGGGATATATATCCCGCACGGTCCGACATGGCCTGCAATGCGCGGGATATATATCCCCCGCGTTGTCGTCAATGTGTTAAAACTGGTGCTTTGAAGCACAAATGTGTGGTGCTGTCACGTTTGTATATTCCCTTTCAAAAAACGAGAAGAGCGTCGGGTGCAGACCATACACCACAAGTGACGACGGCCTCCACAAAATGTAAATGTTTTCTGCCAATGAAATGATTAGCCTGTTGCAGTTGTATTCTATCAGTTGTCACTAATTACACTATGAACCACTACTAACCAGATTTACTTGGAGGCCGTCGTCACTTGTGGTGTATGGTCTGCACCCGACGCTCTTCCCGTTTTTTGAGGAGAGGGTACGCGCGCTTGGTACTATACAACGTCGGAGACCCCAATATTGCTCGCGAGTCGACGCAGTACTACAGCTCGCATGAAACTGAGCCTGTAAAAGTTCCACACTTCTGCTTGTTCCACCACTGTAGTACACGGAATTCAAAAATGGCGTTCATATTCAAAATCAGCGTCGAAAACTCGTTGCAATGATGTACACCTTATGCAATGAAGTTTAATCTGAATTTTCCTTAATCTTGGCCCCTTATTCTCAGATCGTTTGTGGTAGTCATTTTGATCTACAGTCGATGGTTGTGTCGCCGACCCCTCGTTTGGCCGTCTACGCTCTCCGCAAGTCCACAGTCTCTCACTTTTTGCCAGTCCCTCGATTTCGGCGAAGCGCGCGCTGTTTTTTCGGCGGCAGCATCGATGGTAGATCAGGGTGGTTACCGTACACGCAGATGAAGTGTGGCAGTGAAGATCAAGGGGAGATTCGTTTCGAAGTTTGTAACTGGAAATGTGTGTGATTTTATGGTGCTTCCGACGCTGATACCAAATACGGCTTTTCGTTTTGAATCATCGATTTTGTAAGCATTTGCTTCAAAGCAGCCCAATTGCAGCGCAAAGGCATGAGCATTTGCCCCTCCGGGAAATCGATCAATACGAGCAGTGTCGTGCGAACCAAAGTTGTTTGAATATTTGAGAGGAAATTGACCTTATACTTTCAATAATGTAATACGTGAGTATTTGGGACTAATCTCTTATGGTGGGGAACGCAACGCAACCGCACGCGGCAAAACACGTTAGCACTATTGCACTATTGAAACACTAGATTCTGAATCTGGCTGTAGCGTTGATCAAATATAAATTATCAATCTGGTAAGGCACAAACAAAGCACTCTTATTATGTAGTGAACTAGTCTGTCCCGAGTGAAGGTACGATCACTATGCCTCATCCGCGCATTTTACCGCACGTGAGGTGTAGCCGTTGCTTTCTCCAGGTCTTCATGCTATTTCTTTTTCGGATTCAAAGGCACAGTTGGGCCGAAGTCGTGTGAACAATTCCCTTTGTGCTGTAGGATAGACCCTAGAGGGCAATCACAAATGTGGCATTCCCGTGCACGGAAATCACCCGACAAGAGCGCTAGGGCCTTGCAAAGTAAGCTGCAGCAGCTGCAATTTTTTCTTTATCAGGCTGTTGTCTGGCGCCCTCTCATCTGTTGCGCTCTCTCGCCTCATACTCTCCTCTCCGCGCTTAGTCTCTCATTGCCTTAGCACAGCCGATTACGAAGGTGAGTGAGCCCTTAACCTGAGCGTTTTTTCTTAACTTCCGGCTGATTTTGCACTAATACATTCGTATTCGTGTGCAAGAACCACACCAATTTGATCCTGGGGCATTCCTTTAAATTCACTATGATGCTATGAAATCGCTTTGCTGCGCAGTACGAGAGCACTGCCAGGAATTCGCAAGTTTTACGTGAGCTGTCCTCTCTTTGCTAGTTTTGTGTATTCTAGGCCTACCTGTGCACTGATGATCAAGTGATTTTCTACGAAAAGTGTGGATACAAAAAATGCGACCCGATTCTCCACTCTACAACGGCCACATCCGTTTTTCCTGTGTCAAAGCTGAAGGTAACTGTAACGTGACTTATTTTCAGTAAGCGGAGTTGGGTATCGGTCAGGAGATCCATTATACGGCACCGCGGTGAAAGAGGGCTTCGCACATGGACCTCCTTGCCGACGCCCAGCTGCGGCTGCATCCCTAACACTGGCCAACCCCATATTACTTGCCTAACTACCACTTTTATGTGCTCAGAACGAGATTCTGGTTCAGGATCCACCACAGAAAAAAGCAATCGAAAGCTCGACCAGAGAAGCCTGTGCAGGAGTGTGAGGGTGAAGAAGCTTCACAAACTCCGGAGCAACCTGCAGCACAACTGGTGACAGCGACTTCTGCTTCGCCACCACCTGCTTCGCACATCTTGTCGCCACCTCCACCTCCACCCCAAACCTCTTCAGAAAAAAGCCCCAGTGGCTCCGGTATCAACCGCAGATCATCAATATATGTGGAAGAAATTGGTGTAATAGCTGTCATTTACAATATATTCTGACCTCATGCTGAGCGCAAGTGTACTTAGGGGGTGTCATGGACCTGCGGAATGAGCCTAGGAGAAGATGACTTCAGTAAAAAGAAATTTCTCACATACCCCTCCTTACTACCTCCTGAGAAATTTAAGTTCCTCAAGGGGGACTAGAAAGGGCAATGAAGGGTGATGTGAGCTTGTCCGCCGAACGTATGGCCCCTCAGAGTAAACCAGACCTCTCATTGTGCTATTAGTTTATACGTTATCTTCATATTCTCAATAATTGTCTTATCGGAGCGCTATTAGGGTGGTTTGATGAGTATTTTTTCGTCAAACGCCTTACGTTAGAGCACGTCGCGTCGGCGTTCAAAGACCGACGGAAGGTATAAATCGCCTTGCAAAAGGTAGCATATTCTTTCCATAGGCGTGTGGAAAGTGTACTAGATTGTCTGAACTGGGGCCTATACTCGGACTGCCTAAAATACCTAATCATTCTAGAATATAATGTGTATTAAAAACCACGGATGCTTCATGTGTTGGGAGGGGGAGTGTCGGATACTAAGCCCGAGGGAGGGAGATATTCATGGAGAGCAGGTGACAATTTGCTATCCCTGGGGTTTCTCCTCTCTTCTGTGCTGAGTTCTAGTCCACCTACCATTGGCCCTGTTTTGATGTCCTCCCTTCCACAAGAATGTAACTTACGGAGGTAACCAAACTAGTTTCGCTCGCCGCTGACACGCTGACGCGCCGCTGGCCACTGGAGGTGATCCCCGGGTACCGCGGCTCCCATACTTTCTTGCACGATTTGGGGCGCGGCCGCGGCGAGCGCGGACGAGTCGATAGTGCCCGCGAACTGTGGTGGTGATGCGTTTTCAAATTTACCCACACAGTTCGCGGGCACTATCGACTCGGCCGGGTTTGCCGCGGCCGCGCCCCAAATCGTGCAGAAAGTAGGGAGCCGGGATGCCGCCTCATCCGACGTGAGGCGACAGTCGACTGCGCCGGATCGTCCACCTTCTACATGGACGGCGCTTAGTACTATGCGCGGGCCTGTTCGACGCACTCTCTCTTCGTTGAGAGGGCGCAGAGAAAACGAGAAGTGGGAGGCCAGACGTAGAAAATCGATGGCACGTGACATTGCGCGCCCCAGTGCAACGTCGAGAACTGGGATACGGTAAAGGTTTGCTATTACCAGTTCCATAGATTTACATTCTTCTGCTCCTCCACTTAAGCTCTTCATAGTTTGCGCTCTGTGCGGTCCGCGCGGACCATACGACCGTACGGGCCGCGCGGAGAGAGTGAAGAGCGTCAACACGCGCTCTGGCGCACGATACGTACTTTCGTATATCGACTGTACCTTTTATTTTTACTTTTCAGGTGTTACCACGTGCCGTGTTGCTTTGCACGTGTTTTTTGGCGAAATCTTTTTCTTTTTCGTGTGAATCATTGCTTTTCAACTGTTCTAGAATGGTTAGGTTCATACAGTGTGTTTGAAAGTGGCAGTAAGCCCCAGGTGAGTTCATTAGGGTGCAAAAGTAGCAAAAAAAATGTATTGAAATTAGGATTATCAATCGGAAGACGCCGCGCCAAGCATGCATCGTGCGCCAGAACGCGTGTTGACGCTTTCATCCTCTCCGCGCGGTCCGCATGCGCTGACAGTTTTTCATTAACTGCCCATATCACAACTCGGAGAACCTTGACCAAAATAAAGCATATTTGACCATTCGGTGAATTTCGTTGTCTATAGTCATCATACGTTTCTTCTATAGAAACCTGTAAATAGAAACAGAAAAGCACATTCGTGAAAAAATAGGCGGTTTTAGTGCGACGCGCATGCGCTTCGCGCTGTCCCACACGTCCTCAGGGTGCGAAGCGCATGCGCATCACGCTGTCGTCAACGTTTTGAGGAACTCTTTCTCAATGGGGATTACTTGTTTAGGATGGAAATGGTAGCCATACCGCTATGATATTGCATTTCTCATAGGAGATGATTTTTGTGCTTATTTGATAAAGCTTTGGTATGTTTTTGAATTGTGACTCTGCTTTATAAATATTTTGTTCTTTCTCATAATGAAACGAGTTTTCCGGGCAGTGATGCACGGAAGACGACCAGATAAGAGGGCCATACATGGTCCTCAGTGAAACGCGAAATAGACAATTAACAGAAAGAGTTTAATAAAAGAAAAGGTGACAACAGTACTGTATTTTCAGAGATAATTCAGTGCTTGGTATCAGAGTGCACCGACTGCGTCTCCATGACCCGGTACCGATAAATGACTGCCTGAAACGAGAATATGGAACCAATTTTTGTTCCTGCGTTCTAGGTGTTTGCCAGTAGGTCACGGTGCGGCGACGTGCACGTTTGCTGTTTGCAACAGGCGAAACACTAGCGCGATAAGGCCGCGTTCATAGTTCGCGACTCCGGAGATTAGGATAGTACGCGACAATGAAAAACATATGTATTGACGGGGAGATTAGGATAGTAGTAGATTAGGATAGTAGGAGAGTAGGAGATTGCGCTGACAAGATTAGATACGTATCGATTGAAATCGCCGGAGAGTAGTAGATTGCGATATTACGATAGTAGGATAGTAGTAGAGTAGGATAGTAGTAGTAGATTAGGATAGTGCGCTGACAAGATTAGATATGTATTGATCTATTCGCTTGAAGTCGATCAATACCTATCGGCGCCTAATCTAGTCCTCTCCGTCGAGCCAATCGAAAATCTAATCTTTTCAGCGCAATATCCTACTCTACTACTTTTTTGAAATCCTATAGCCGGCTCTTCTAATCTCCCAAGTCGCAAACTATGAACGTAGTCTAATTGATTTGATCATTCACTCAAGATTGCATACATCGAGCATCGATAAGGAGCCTGTCGCGAGAGATGGCAGAGACGCCGACGAGTCAGCGGACGAGTTGCAGCGCCTACTGTAGATTTTGTGCTAACTCAGATATAATATTCAGGGAAATCTGCAGTCCTTTGACCCCATGGAAGCGCTTACCTTTTCCTCGAGATCTTTCACCTCACGTTCCACTGCTTCCCATATTTTCTCACGTTCCTGACATTCATTGCGCATACGGAGCATTTGCGCTTCTACGGTCTTCAGTCGCGTTACAACTGCGAGAAGGTTGTCAAGGAGATTCTGAAGCACATAAACATGATAATGCTGTGCAGTTAAGCATGTAACACCACGTCGCTTCTGTACTACTGACTTTCGAGCAGCCGACAGGGAGCCTTCATCGCGCGGCGAGATGGCAGAGACGCAGACGGCTCGACGGATGACTCGCAGCGCGTGCTACATGTGACTTGGATTTACTCAGTACCTGAATTCTATTTATCTGGACGCGAAATCACTACAGTACGCGCTGCGACTCGTCCGCCAATCCGTCTGCGTCTCTGCCTTCTCGCCGCGCAACGGGCTTCCTGTCGGCTACCCGAACCGCACTTCCGCGTGCATCTTAACCTGTAATGGTAGTTTTTTCGGAAAGAAGGAACAAATTGCTTTCTCTTTCAGATTCAAAACCATTTTTTCCACATCATGTTCACTGAAAATGCAATGTCCACAACGTTACTGAAGGTAACATACGCAACTTACCAAAAAAGGGTGAGGAAATAAACCCAACCTTGTCCTGCTTTGTCTGAAAAGCAACACTCATATGTGCAGTTTGTATGTCGATACAGCAAAGTGCTACATCTAAGAGGCGCCCATGTGGGTGAGG